GAAAACAAAATTAAAAAAAAAAGTTGGAATTGCAATTAAATTGATTAATAACACAAATTAGTGTTTAATCAAATAAAGAGAAAGAATGGAAGAGAAAAAAAAGAGGAAATTGAGAAGATACAAACCTAAAATTAAATGAATATAATGTAATTATAAACATAATACAATTAATCTAACAGCAGCTGAATAATGGAAGAAACGAGGAGGAATAGAGAAGGGAGGAGAAGAAAAAAGAAGAAGAAGGAAAGAAAGAAAGAAAGAAAGAAGAACTGAGCGGGTTAAGGTGTTATGGTAATATATAGAGTATTTTACCAATGTGACTCTTGTCGGAGTTTATTTTACCAACAAAATGCATATTGTAATGTTGCTTGCACGCGGGAATCCAAAATGTGCAAAAATTTTTCAATCCCGCCCAATCAACTTCATGTTGGAAAGAATTCTGCCCATTTTACTGTCAAAAATTTTCCAATCCCGCCCAAATTACTAGCATGAAGATTATGTAAAAAATTCAACGGATCAAAATTCATATTTAACCTAAAATTTACTCAAACCAATAAATCTCATAATGTTAATATCAAACACTTAATATTAAAATTTTACAATTAATTATCAAAATTTCACTAAAAAAATTATCAAAAATGACTAATAACTATCCAAAAAATTTAGCTAAAACAACAATCTAACAAAATTAATGTCCAATGAACTAATGACAATATTTAATAGCTTAAATTTCATAAAAATAAAATATATATCCCTTTGACTATTTAGTTACAACGTGTTTGATTTTCCGCAATCTAAAAAAATAAAAATTTATATTGAACTAGAAAGGCCCAAGTCCAAAGAAGCTCATCAAATAGTTACAGAGAAATACAACTTGAAGCCCGTTGGGTTCTTAATGGGCTTCACTTAGAAGTTCGAACTACAATATGTAGATGCCATTTAGCCCCAAGAATTGCGTAAATGGATTGGGTAAAGAATATGGACCTGAATTGTACCAGCACCATCTCACTTCACCGACCCCGAGCCACCATCGAGTAATGTAAACCTCATCACTGACGCAAACCTCATCTTCATCTTCTTTCAACATTTCCCCATCTACGTTTATAAAGCAAAGATCTCCGTTTTTCTCTCTATTTGTGCAGCTTTTGGGAATTTGTTGGAGAAAATACTAAAGAAAAGCAAAGATCAAACACATTGTAACTAACTAGTCAAAGGGAAGAACAGAGGAAAGGAAAGCAAGATGCCTGAAGACGAAGACCAAAATGAAAAGGTAAGGGGGTCTGGGGTGGTAAGAGGTAACCCCTACCGACAAAAACCACATTGCTACCATTAAAAGCTGATCTCCTCTACAGAGCTACAGCATGCAGGTTGACCAACATGATCACCGAGAAGTGTATGGCTGGCAATATGAAATTACCGATGAGAATTTTGTCAATAAGAGTACCAAAAGCTCCGAACTCAGCCATCGGCAGCCGGATTCACAAGGGAGGGTTGGGGACTGTGAATTTACCAACGAAGTCTTTGTCGGTAAATTCACCAAGATGAATCCTATTGCAAATTGAATTAGTTACAGGTGTGATCTTTGTCGCTGATTTGTTTATTGGTCTGCTTGTTGCCGAAGTGTACTTTGCAGCATATTACCGACGAAGGGCACGTGTGTATAGTGCAAATTTACTGAGAAAAATTTTGTATGTACCTTAAATAATATAAATTACTCTTATTTTTACTGTTTTTTTATTTGCAGACATTTATCTTGTCAGTAAGGGGATAATTTACCGAGAAGACTTCTCACGTCGGTGATTATGGATCGGTGATTTTGAGTTTTCTAGTAATGGATGAAGCCTAAGGGATAGATTTCACATATTGCAACCATTGTTTTCGTATGGTCTAAATTGCTCTTTCAACATTGCCTTTTATACATACAATTTGAAGGTAATAGTTTGTAGTTTTGTCTAATTTGATGGTTAATAATTGTTATCATTAAAGATTCAATTTTTTTTTTTTCATAAAATTAAATGAAACTGCTAATTATTAGTTGGAAACTATTATACTAAACATACCCAAAAGCTTATTTGCTGAAACCAAATGAAAATGGAAGGGAAGAAAAATTGAAAAATGGATACTTATTTGCATTACTTAACTGTACCAAAAAGACCATACACATTTTTTTAGCAAAATAAAAACATTCCATGTAGCAACAAAACTTTATATTATATAAAGTTCAATCCTTGCATTAAATATGGACTAAATTATGTTTGTTCAATAAAATAATGTCATGTTTTATACAGGAGAGGTTGCTAAAGAAAATATCACCTGGTTTTGAAAAAGTCAACCAAACAAAAGACTGCAACATAGCCACAGCATACGGTAGCCTCTGACAATCAATATATTTGTGTTTTTGTTTGGAATGAAACCTCAATGAAGACAAAATACCTTTCTTTCAAGAAAAGGAATAATATTGACAATTTGATAATGAAATTGCAAATTACTACTAACTAGGCAGACTACCAAAAAGCAGAAAAACAGGCAAAATAGACACTTCTCTTTTAACTCTCACCTTGTTATATATTATTTTGATTTTCAGCTGATGAAAGAATTGCAGTGGTAATACTTGCAGAAGAGGCATAGTACTTAATATTGCAAGTTGGTTAGGGTAATTAGGTAATGTTAATGAAGGAAGTAATGCAGGTGAGGAGTTGGAACTAACAACAAAAGAATTTCCCAACAACTGTGCTCAAACCTCCCCGTTCTTCAATCCTCAAATGTATAAAAAGGGTATTAGACAAGGAATACCAAAACACAGATAAAGATATCTGAAACTCTTTCAGTCTGCACAGCAACCCTCGTCTTGCCACTTTTGCTGGTGGTATGGTCTACAAACGGGCAAAGCTTCAGTGTTGAGGCTAGGCATCTTTTGGACATCACCTTGCCACAGATACCTGAGCATTCTGCTCCTGAACTGCCTGAACTCCCTAGGCCTGAATTGCCTGAGCTTCCACCACTTCCCAAGGTGGAGTTGCCACCATTTCCTGAATTTCCATCCATACCTAGACCTGAATTGCCTGAACTGACTAACCCCATATTGCCTACATTTCCCACTATTCCAGAAGACATCCCCAACCCCAAACAGAACCCATCTCATTCAACCTCCAGCCCTTGAATTAGTATACCGCATATTGCTTCTTTAGTGGATTTCACCATGAAGAGCTTGACCTTTGGAATTACTATATTTATGTTTATATACATTGTGCGAACTGAAAAGCTATAAGTTCTTGATTATTTACATTATATTTGTATCGATTTGTCATATGTTTCTGCCATGAGATTGGTTTCATTGTTGTTTAACCAGCTGTATTGTACTTGATATCTTATCTATATATGTATTTTGTATTAAGTATGTTGAAAGCATATATATGTATTTTGTATTAAGTATGTTGAAAGCATAGTCAATGAACAAGGAATGCGAGCACAATCAAAAGGAACTTGAAAGTAATAAAATTTCCTAGTTTCTTCAACGTTGAAGGCCTCTCCTTCAGTTTCTACGGAAATCATCAAATTTGCTTCATCAATGTCTGCAAAATAACAGAATTTGGATCAACTAAACGTTTTGAAAAGACAATTTCCACTATATCTTAATTACCTTCAAGATTGTCAAGATCATCAAGTAAATTGAGAAATTTTAAGTAATTTTATTTTGGTGGTTATAATTATATTAACTATCATGGTTGCAAGTAAATGGTTGAGGATATAATGTTTAGGATATAATGTTTAGAATATAATGTTTTTATACTTTGTTTATAGAGGAAAAGCCTAATTTTTAAAATAAATGAATTTTAATTTTTTTTTTTAGATTTATTATGAAAAAAATTAAATGATATAAATTTTTTTGTTTTAATTTATTACAAAAATGATTAATTGTAGAGGTCATTAAAAAATATAGGGAGGACACCACTGCGTGGCCATAATTAGTTGATAGCCAACTTTTGTCCCAAGTTTTTGGTCAACCTTCTAAAGATGAGCAACTTTATGGAATACACATTTACATGAACCTTGATGAGTAAGGAGTCTCACATTGTAAGCATCCTCTGCATACCATATCCATTAGTTCTGTTAAGTCACCTTAATGTGTAGTATAGTTACAACAGACTGTGACAAAACTACTAAAATATCAATAGACATTTAAACAAGATGAAGCGGATGTTTTTTATGATACAAGGAGGAGGAGGGACTGGGACAAGTGGAGGATCATAATTGGCTTGGTTATAAGTTGATCGGACTGTAAGAAAAACATCTTTTGGTATTATGCATAGACATTTATGACAATCTCTACATCTATAACTAGCTATATAATGACATAGTACCTTAATTATTATTGTAAGACATAATATTTTAATTATGAATTTATGTCAAGTTCTATATTTATGTGTTTTTAGGTACACTTGTTTTCAATTTAGATGTTTTAATATATATTTAGAAATAGTTTAGTAGAATTTTTATCATATCAATTATAAATTTTATGACAAAAAATTAATAATAGAGAAAGCAAAAAACCGAGAATATAGAAAACAGGAAATAAAGCAATCTGTAGGTTAAACGCTAATGATGATTGTACAATTTATTTTGGTCAGTCATACTGTTGAACTTAGAGGAAAGAAATTTTAATAACTTGATTCGGTCAAGTTATTTGACCAAATTAAATAAATATTTTAATTTCATTATTTTGGTCAATGATCTTGACCAAAATGATAAAAGTTTAAAAAAAAAAAAAAAAACACCAAAGGCTCACCTTAAAAATTGGCTTAAATGTTTAAATTTTTCACCCTTTTTAATATGTTCAAAATTTTTGGTCGAACTAGTTTTCTAATTTCTATTGTTGCCCACCTATCATTTGAATTTTTTGGCACAACATGGTTTGAAATTTCTGCAACGTTTATTTCGGTCAATTTTACTCTTTGAAATAAACTTCGGAATATATAAATGCCACTACCCAAACTCTTTTCTACACTTCTCCAACTTCTCTTCATTTCTTTCTTCTCCACCTTCAACACTTCTCTTTATCTCTTATTTTTCTTACTCTCAACAATTCTCTTTACATTTCCCTTACTTCATGTTTTCATCTTTGTTTTTCTTTTTCTTATTTGATAAAAAGCATTTTTATATGATTAATCTATTATATTAGCCTTAATTTTATTACTATTTGCAAGGATAATATGTGGTTTTCAATA